GACTTCGTGTCTCTCATTCTCACGTAAATTTCTGTCATTTATATCTAACTTAACTAAACCGGTTTCTTTTTGTCGTTGAAAAGAATATGAAGATCAGATATTCAGGAAGATATTCTCAGAATTTCCGTGTACACACTAAACTTTCCTATAATGTGTAAACACACACCATCATTTGAGTTCATGTAACCATGGTAATTTCTAATAGTTGAAAATTATTAAACTTTTTTTACGTAGAAGTCGGTATAGCGTCTGGCTACTGGACCGACGACCAAGGGGTCGGAGCATGCGTAGTGCTTAATTAGTTACGAACAGGACAACTACGTAATTATCAAGTGCATTGTAAGCACAGTGCACGAATTATTTTGACTTGCACTATCTAACCACAGTGCAGAGAACGGGCAGTGCTCAAGCGAGATAAATCATCCGTAACAATAAAAGGTTTAAAACATTTGTAGACATCTAGGTCACTTGAAAGTAGTAGACTCCTATTTCACGAGAACAGTGTCACAAAAAAATTCTGGTTAAATATTTAATCCTTTTTTAATTATTTTCCATGAGACGTGCAAATTGGTGGTCATTCTCGGTAACATACCACCCCGCCGTAGTTAAAAAAGAAGTTCTATGTCTGTGCAAATACCACAGAGTGTATAACAGAAGTAATTATTCATGTTACTAGCTAATTCTTGGATACCAGAAACAAACGGAAGGGGGACAGCAACCCCCTCGGGAGTACCAACACACGTGAAGCTCTGGACATAGAGGATGACATTGTGGGGCCCGAACTGCACATGCTTGTGTATCATGTTTCTTCATTTTGAGTCTAAGTGAGCTGCTTTCAGTTTCTGTATTCTCATATTGTAATGCCACACGTTTGGCGTGTTCATAGCCTTAGCTTCTTGGATATTGGAATGTATCTAACGTCCTACATACTGAAACAAACCCAGCACGTACCTCACAGGAAACACTGCGTCACCAAGGGAAAGACCAACGTGATAATAGTGTTTGAGGAAATGATCACTGTTTATTGTGAGAACCATATGGAACACACAGATACACTGTGTGGGCAAATGCACAGACTTTATATATAAGAATTCAGTCCGTACCTCACAGGGAACACATTACATCTCCGCTACAGAGCCCAATCGGTTAATGCTGTTTGGGGAAACAATCGCTGTTTATTGTGAGAACCATACGGAACACACAAATACACTGTGTGGGCAGAATGCAGAGACTTTATATATCAGAATTCAGACCGTACCTCACAGGAAACACATAATGTCTCCGCTACAGAGCCCAACCGGTTAATGCTGTTTGGGGAATTAATGTTTGCTAATTCTGAGAACCTTGCGACGAACTGATCACCCGCCCAGGGAGTCCAATCGAATGTGTAAGATGTAGAAAACCCGAAGTGAACAGAGAAGTTCATGGAGGTGGTCCTAAGCCCACTGGGGTTGTAGTGCCAAGGAAAAAAAAAATCTGAGAACAATATGGAACAAATAAATGCACTGCTCTAGCAGAATGCAGAGTTCCTTAATGTTAAAGGAGATGGTAGATATTGTTACTACTTTTACGCGAAGGGTTAAATATTACTGAGTTGAACTACAGCATAGATAGATGGATGGGTAGAACAGATCAATGTGAAAATTGAGCCAGGAGATGGCTTCATTAAATTCTTTCGATTGAGTTGTCTAATGGTCTCTGCAGCCTATACTGTAAGAGTGATCAGTCCTGGTGTATCCAAGGGAAGTATTTGGGCCAAAGAGGGAGGAAATAACATGAGGAGTGGAGAAAATTGTATAATGAGTAGCTTTATAATTTGTACTATCCATCAAATATTCTTAGGATGTTGAGAGCCAAGGGGGATGATGTGTGTAGGGCATATACAGAGTCTCGATTAGGGGCGATATAAATGCATATGAAGATGGTACTGCGGAAACCTGAAGAAAAGAAATGGCTTGGAAGACCTTGGTATAGAGAGGAATGATTTTATAACAAATCTTAAAGGAATAGACTTTTAGGATGTGGTGTAGAGTCGTCTGGGTAAGTATGTTGGCAAGTGGCGGGACTGCAAGTTAATGAACCTTCTAGTTTTTTTTATTGCTAGTGGGGGGGGACTAAGTCCCTTATACTGCAGCCACTTCTGGCCTATTGTACCAGCCCCAGATTATAGGTGAGGGTGATTGTGGAGCAATTGGTGGAATGAAGATGGGCAGGGGAAACCTAAGTACTCGGAAAAATCCTGCCCCAGCGCCATTTTGTTCTCCACAAATCCCACTTGACCAGACCCGGGATCGGGAAGCCAGCGACTAACCGCTTGAGCTCTGTCGCGGCAAACCTTCGAGTTAATACATGGCGGAACATTTCCTCCGTACCTTAGTGATAATCATATTTTCAAGAAAGTAAAAAGGTAAAGGTATCCGTGTAACGGGCCATGGAGGCCCATAGGGTTGTGAGACGTCGAGGTTCCCACATTTTCTAGACGATCGGCTCACAGGTGGCGGTGAGGTGAGCCTTACGCCCCGACTGTCCTTTTGCCTCTCAGGAAGATTCCTGGTACTCATTCCTGTTAGAGGCTGAGTCGTCCCCAGGGCCATTGTGCGCCTGGAAGGATTAGATCAATTGAAAAATATCCAATGACGTCGGGAATCGAACCCGCGGTCTTCCGGCTTGTAGCGTAGTACCTCGACCAACTACGCTAGCCCGTGATCCTCCTCTCAAGAAGATGGGGTTGCAATATGTACGTTATATTTCCGCCATTCGACCAAGGTGTTTAGTTGTGGAGGTCGGAACAAGCACTTGTTATGGAAACGCTATGTGTTTCTTGCGAGGTAAGGGCCGAGTACAGAAGTGTGCCCCTCAGCTGCGTTCGAGGCTGGCGTAAACTGATTTTAGCTTACATCCCTTATTTTGAAAAGAAATGAAAAGAGGCTTATGAGATTACCCTGCTGTCTATGTGTGCTTCTTTCTGTGTCTGACCCCCTTTCGTTGTCTGTGCGGTCCGTGTCGTATAAGAGGGAAAGGCGATTATTCTCCCCAGACTTTCCTGTCGTCTTAAATGTTCTTAATCTTCGTCTTCCTACTCCAGAAGGACTAGTTGGCATTGCCTGGGAACCTTAAACAATTTACGATGTATTTCAATAAGAGGAGTCGTGTCTCGTCCGGGCTCTTGCAATATCTTCTCGTTTTCTTAACGTCTCAGGTTGATAAACGAATTTATTAATGTACAAGCTCTGAGGTTTTCACGACAGTGGTTTGCTAAAATTGTGGTCTTCTGGGTTGTGTCTCCGTGTACTTTTGTTGCCAGTTACCGATGATTCGAGTAAATATTCTGCCTCCATTTTCAAGGTTGAATTGTTTAGGCTCCGATGTAGGGCTACAAAAGCCAAGGTGAGAGGGTCAACAGAAGGAAGTGGTCCAAGCCAATGCTAAGAAATGGACTTAAGTGGATAGAACAGCCCGTATAATGGGGCTCCCAGTTTGGAAATGCAATAGTGATGGAGAAGACATCGTTCCGAGGAAAGTGGAAATGTGTGAGAAGCGCTCTTTTGTGCGTCAGTAATGTCGCTTGTCCTGTGTTCCGCTTTATCGCGAAAAGCCGGGCGCGCGCGCGCGTGTGTGTCAGCTTTGGGTTTCCTGGCAATTGGAATTCGTTAACATGAATTTGTACAAGTTGCAGGCATTAACTTACCGCATCTCACTTAAGCCCTTACTGAAGTGCATAGATTAAAGGAGATGGCATGAAATTAAATTATACTCACAGCTTCACGTGAGGCTGCTGTCGAATCTGGAGCAAGTAAGCCACAAGGGTGAGGCTAATTAATTTAAAGGTGACGTAAGGCAGGAACTCCTAAAGTTACATCCTCCGCCATGTTTCCGTCATGTTCTCAGGCTACCAGATGATATCTGCTTACTGAGTAACTGACTAACAGCCCCGTAACACAAGCTCCAAGTTGAAGGTTCGTCGATAATTATGTATCAGACTACACGGCGTCACATCATAGAGGGCATTTATCTTCTTTGATCTATTTACATGTTCTAAATTGAATTATAATTAATTTTAGTGCCCTTTCAGATTTTCAGCAATGAATTCATATGGTAGCTGTAGTTGTCTCTGCAATTCAAACAATAATTTCCAAGCAGCTGTTTGCCTATGTTCAAGTCTCTCCGTTTCTTTGTTGCGGATCTTAACGTCATCAGTTTTCTGCCATTGCTTCAGTTGTGTGCATTCTCACCTCCCCTCCCCTCGCACCCCCGCAATTTCTTCCCGTCGAATCCGTTATCCGGAGACAGGAGATGAATTCTGGAACAAACCCGGATGCTGGTTGGTCAGGTAAAGCTGTGTGGGGACTCAGTGCGCTCCGCTGCTCCAATCGATTGAGAGAGGATAAAGAATGGAAGCCATTACTAACGTTTCAATGCATATCTATAGGAATTGCACATATTCTGCGCCTTTTAGTGTCTGCTATTGTAGTTTGAGTGTCTACAGCAGAGGGAAATGTGTGAAAAGAAGGGCTGCCAATTTCTCGCCTCCGTGGAATAAGGGATTATCTCACCATACGCCCCTTAAAATTAACGTTCTCACGTAGGTTAGGAGATTTGTGGTATAGATCCACGTATTCTAACCACAGCTTCACACACCGTCAGGATTTGTTCTGGGTACCCATTGGATAAGAGGTTGAGTTGGCTTCCAAGCCGGTTTGGACGCTGTGGTGAAGTGAAATTCTGCTTCCCCTGCCGAGAATCGAACCCCAATTACTCGGTCATTCATGGCAACTATGGTAACGCTATATGGCGTCGAATGGTAGGACGGAAGGACGATGAATTGGGAAGGATTTTGAAAGAAATGTCCTTCGTCTAACCGAGGTACTATCTTCGTATTCGATTGTAGAACTGAGGAAGGCCACGAAGTAAATAGGCGAGGATAACCGGTGTAAAGGCCTACATTCAAACCGAACGCTAATTACAGGGAGCATGACGTCATAGAAGTTTGTTTGTTACAGGAAGGGGCAGAGGCAGAAGCTCCGGGACGACTCCAGACCGGTAAGTGCAAATAACCGCTTATATGGCAATTCAGTCAACAAATGTAAATGTTTTCACGGCTCTCCTGCCATATAATCCGATAAGTGAGAATCAACCTTACGGAGGAACATACTGCTTCCATCTTCAGGGTTGCTGTCCACCTAGACCCAGAGAACAACAATTTCAAATGTAACGGGGAGATGAAAACTCTAAAGTGATGTAGTTTTGGTTTAGGGCAAGAAAGAACTGTCAAGCGTTAAGACATTGTATGAACGTGAATTATGCAGCAGGTCACGAACGAGCTAGCAGTCAGTTGTTTCAGTGCCTCATATCTACTTAATATTAATATTGTAACACGTAGACCGGTTGGTAAGTAATGACCCTGCAAACATCTCCCACTGCAAGGCAACAGATTCCTAAGAAGCACCGATGGAATAACAGGAACGGTGTTTTCTGTATGGTCCGCTAAGCAACAGAGGAACTGAGTTTTCTGTGTGGTCCGCTAAGCAAAAGTTGAATAGCAACAGAGGAACGGTGTTTTCTCTTCGGTCCATACCGAGATGTTATGAGGAGGACGAGAGTCAGTGCAGTGCAGTGCAGTACAGTACAGTGCAGGAAAGTGAAGAGTTAGTAAGTTCGTGAGCTAGTCAGGGAACTGCGGTTCAGTAGTTGTGAACTGTTGCTGTTGGAAGCTGGTAGCTGAACCCGAGGACAGTTCGGGAACCCAGAGGAAGGGGAACTTCGTCGTTAGAAGCCGTTATCAGTCAACAACTAGTAAAGAGTGTAACAGACTAAGAACACTAGTGTATATGTAACAGTGAACTGTAAAATGTAGCTAAATTTGTCCGTGTGCTTAAGTAGTTACGCAATGTACCATGAAGATGTATGGGGGAGTGGAGATACGGCTCCACTTTCATTGACCTCTGTGCTAGATAAAGTGAGTGGTGAGCTTCGTGCCCCTGTCACTTTGCTCACGGGTAAATAACCCCCCAGTGTCCATTGATGGGCCCAGATTCTGTCTTGGCGCCGTGGAGAAGAGAAAAATCTTGCACTGCCTCGAATTGAACCCGGTCCTTCCAGTGAGTAACCCGTTGCTATACCAGATGAGCTAGGTTTGCTGCACCTCATGATTTCCTGTACTTTTCATTTCGTAATTTTAAGGCATGTCGCAGTTTTATTTAAATGACAATCTTTTCCACGACGGAGTTCCACAAAATTCAATCAAATTGTTCAGAAGTTCTTAACGAGTTCTACACTTAATACACGCAGACAGAAACCTCCGCCCCAAAAGGCTAGAAGCTAACCCAGAGCCGGGGAAGACGAACGGGGATCACGGTACGTAATCAAACAGGAGTTTAGACAAGGGAAATGCGTGCTGGATCCTAGAAGTGGGATAGTAAACGTTTTCCATCCTCATTCCTTCCAAGTCAGAGCAAAAAGAAAAATGGAAGTTTGAAATGATGTATCGCGCAGCCGCCATGATGGATGGGGCTACGTAATCTAAACAAATGAAGACAAGTTGGTGTCGCTATGACGACAAGAGATGTGAGCCCGTTATTAAAGTTCGGGCGCGGAAACAGAAGCATCGGACGCGCGTGTTTTCCTGTTCTGTCGATGCGCGTACGAAGTGGCACGTGTGTGGACGTCTCGTGCCTGTCAGGTCCACACACGTTGCCTCTCTGGGCTAACATAACCTTAAAATTAAATTTCTTTGAAGCCTGAAAGAGAAAAGGAGAAATTTGAGGTGGCATATCAGCCCGATGGCGTGTGGTACGGTTGCAGGCTGGATGCAGACTGGGACAGGGTTCCTGAGGGAACCAATGGGAGCAGGGAGAACAGTGTAAAGAATATTGGGCGTTAAAACTATTGACTTTAGATGGTAGAGAGCATGAGAGAGAAGGGGGGGGTAAGGAATCTGATGTGCCCAGTAGAATTCTCTTCATACCACTTATTCTGTCTCTTCTCACTCTTTTACCCTGAAAATGGAGGCAGAAGGTGCCTTCAAAACATTAACGATCTCTCAGGAGCACTACTCAGCTCCACAAGCCGGATGACAGTCTCCATCACGAGACATGTTGAGCCTATGCAGTTTAGTTTTCCAAGGAAATTGTTGTCGGGAGAAATAGCGTCTCCGATTGAACTAGTGCGACTTCCGATACCTGATCACTGTTCTTTCCTACCCTGAAGATGGAGGCAGCAGATGCCCTCAAGACGTTGGTAACGGTCTGCTGTCTGCTTCAGATATCCGTAACGGCACGTCATCAGCAGATAGAGACGTAGAACATGTCGTCATTGTAAACTTACTAGATTTTATTTTCAATGTAAAAGAAAAGGAAACTAGGGTCACCACCTCAAATATTCCGCCGAATACAGGATTTTTTTGTCTGTATATAGCTTTTCCGTATCAATATTATGTAATCTCAGGCGTTACGGTAACAGGAATGAGGACTTAGTAAGGAATTTGAAATGAAGCGCCAGAGGGACTGAGGAAAACCAAGAAAATCATGTGTCAGGATAACCGTGTGCCAGTTGCGATTCGAACCTCACAACTTCCGAATACAGGTCTAAATCGTTACCTCTAGACCAACCTGTGACGGTGTTGTGTTTCAGACACATTATTAATATTTGTAACTAGGTCCCAGCAGGCTGGAGTTGAAATATTGAGGGGGGGGGGAGCTGCCTTCAGGATAAAAATCATGGACACAGATGACGATCGTTTATATGTGGACAGAATTGAAGATGTTTTAGAAAAAGAATATCGCGTCCCAAGGGACAGTGATCTTCTTGTGAGGTTAATTCACAGAACTAAACTAAGTTCGGAGCACAGCGTCTAGAGGTGACGCCCGTTTCGACCTCATATTCAGTTTCAAGTCTCTCCGGGTCTCATAATTATGTGTCCGTATTCTTGTCTCTTCTTTCTCTAATTTACTTTTCCTCGAGACAGTTTGCATTTGCGCTGCAAGCGCTCTGCCCTCCGCCAACTCTTGCTTCCATATTTACGGTTAATAATTTCGCGAGGTGCCCTGTTATGCGGATCTGCCACGGGAACTACAGACCGCCGGTATCAGTGGGCCATTACGTCATCGTTAGAGTCGCTAGAGTTTCCTTTCACTTTACTGCCACCGAATGGGATAGCTTAGCAGTATTCCCTTCGCTTTTCGAATGTGGCCCGAGACATCTACCATCCTGACAGGGTTATTCTGGTTTTCCTCAGTTCTTCTGCTCAAATGACGGCATATACCTCGATTAGCACATGACCGATTACTTCCAGATCGTTACCAAATCATCCTACCGCTCGAAGCCTTTTAGTCTAGTTGTGACGTAGTCTAAACGAACACACAAAATGCAACTAAAAGTAATTTCGGTATGCATTCATAGGTGGCAGATTCGAAAATAAATTTCGCAAGGACACTCAGTACAAAACCTACACATCTGAAAGTAAATTTCATGTTTTCCGAAATCGTGAGGAAATTTTACGTAGCCAAATGCCTTTCGTAGGTGGGTGGACAATATTAAAATGGATCTTAGAGAGATAAGATGGGATGGTATGGATTGGATTGATCTGGCTCAGGATATAGACCAGTGGACGGCTCTTGTGAAAACGGTGATAAACCTTCGGGTTCCATAAAATGCTAGGAAATTCTTGGGTAGCTGCAGATTTGACTTCTCCTCAAGAAGGGCTCAGCTCCGTGAGTAAGTAAGCCAAATGCTTTTAACTATATTTTATATTGTTTTCTCTACAGTGGTTTAAATGCAGAATGTTCAGGATCACTCTCCATCAGGGTAAAGACAGACACGTCTACGACGTGCCTCTTTAATTACTCCTTTCAGAACGAACTCAGAGAAAAACCAGAGCTTCTGGAATTTTCTTTCAGACCCTATACAAGTGTACCATATACTTTGAGACCTGTAGATTTATAAGGGCTCCCATGTTATCAATTTCGGAAATCATTTGAAGAGATTTAACATGTAAGATGTAACTTGTACCAGTTACACACCTTCCTCAGGGTTTGCAAGGAATTCGAGAACCACAAGATGTTTAGAAGCTTTATGTGTGTGTGTAATTTAGTGGGTGGACCTAGCGGTAACGCTTTGGACACGATTTCGAATCTTTATGCGAAGAACGGTGAAGATTATGCCAACTGTGTCTTGAAACGTGAAACCATATTGTCAGGCAAGCAGTTGCCGACGTTTCAGAGGAACCTGCTGCATCATACTTTATTTTACCCTGGTTTTAAAGAGCGAGGTTTTCCACAGCAATGTCGATATGTTTTTATGAGACTACACGGCGTCACATTGCAGAAGGCAGTAATACTTATATGAGTTATCGCCTTGAGAAGCTAAGGTCTTAAAAAAAGCAGTAACATTCCTGAAAGATCACGTGATATCTCGGGTGTGTTGAGAGCAGTAGAAAATAGAACACCCTGTAGCACGTTGCGAGAAGAGAGCAGTAAATAAAGGAACACAGTTTCAAAGAAAGCTTGCCTAGAAAGAACTTCGGAATTTTAAATGAACGCTGAAGTACGGGCGTCTCTTATGATATCTTTGTTTTAATGGCAGAAAGGAAACGCAGAATTCTCCATTAAATTTAGTATCTTTTTTATTTTATATTTTTCTATTTCCTACGTTGTCTTTGACTGAGCATTTCTCATAAAGAGAGTTATAAATACAGTCCTGGAGTGGGGGCTGTTCACATGGCGTCCTGCAGCGTCTGTTTGAGAGCGCAGTAAATACGCATTCGGGGGTACGTTCCGCGTATTGCTGCTTTAACCTTGGAAATGACAGAGCATCATATTCAGACCGTGCAGCACGAAGGATTTTCACTCAGTTTATGTTGCTCGGGATCATATGGCTAAGAGTGATGAAGGAGGTTGAGATAGGCAGGTCATGTAGCACGCAAGAAAGAAAAGAGGCGTACATATAAAGTTTTGGCGTGAAGACATTAGTTGAAGACACCATTACGAGTACCTAGATGTGAATGGTAGTATAATATTAAAATGGAATTTAAATAAGTGGGATAT